GCGGCTGGGCCTATTAACCGTGGGCTTAATAACCGGCGACTACTGTATTGAAGCATGTGCGCTGAGAGACGGACTTTCCAGTGTCGATCCCATTGCTTTTTCCTCATTCATGCACCAGTCCACTTTCTGATCTGGTCAGTCATCTCATGTGAATGTTCGTCGCAATCGGCTAAATATTTCGCCTAAGCCTGCCCCACACTTACATATCTGGTGTCGAATGAAGGCAAGAAAAACTGAAGCGACAGTTGAGTGCCCCCTTCGTTTTTTGGTATATACATCTAAAACGAATTCTTTAGCTGCAGAAAACAAGCAGCAAAAACTACCCCATTTAACGAAATACTCCAAGCGAATAAGAGCAAGGTCTGCATTTTCACAAAAAAGTTGGGTTAATGCAAATCTCTGACTGCACAAAAAAGCGCCGTTCAAGATCCGGAAGTGAAGTGACGATATAATTATACGAAAAAGTACCATATTTAGGCACTCGCTCGTAGTCGTTGAAGCTGCTAAATCTACGAGGAAAAAATCGGGAAACGCGGGCTTGCGAATCAAAACAGGCCTCGGCAACTGTTTAATCTTTCACAGGTTGAAGGCAGAGCTGAATTGGATGCAGGTCAAAGCCGATGTAGTCCAGGCTTTGCAGGCCATCCTCTTCTGAGGATGGCCACCACAACCAAGAAATTAGTGCCGGATGAACTTGCAACAAGCAGAGCTATGGATTTCGCTCGTCTCATACTGCCTTGAGGTTCACTATTGAGCTCCGTCTGTAGTTGCGTAACGGCCAGTATCAAAGGCAAATGAATATTACGGACAGAGCCAAGGGATACGGGGATGACAATTTCTGACTTATTAGCCGTCATCGGCCAGTCATACATAATTCCAACTGTGGATCACGCGGGACCTTTGGTCCTTGGGTGCAAAGCTCTGCCATTGCACCACGGGCTCATTGCTTTGTCAGCTGCGATTGCGAATATGCTGGAATTAGGTTGTGCATCTGATCTATCTGATTAGGGATCATACTTGTCCCGTTGTGCCTTGACGCTCGTGTTAGAGCGATCGCAGGCAGTCGCTTAGCGACTTCACGCATATAATGGAGTGGAACCGACAAAGACAAGGGAGACCGGAATGGCCATTTGTGGCTTGTTGGCCGTCATCAGCCAAGCATACCCAATCTCAAGGCTCAGAACCTCCGAGATTCGAACACGGAACCTTTGTTCATTGAGTTTACCACTCTAGCATTGCACCACGGGCTCGTTGCTTAGCGGTTGCGATTGGGAATATGATGAAAATAGGTGCACCACCCAAGGCTCGAACCCGCGCCCTGTTGATCCTAAAGAAAACATTTTCAAGTGACAGCAAAACCGGCCGAAATGTTTGACACACTGGTGCCTACGACATTAGAGACAGGCTGAATGAATGCCTATGTGGCGAGTGTATTCCCAAAACGAAGAAAACTGCCACGCAACTGTATACGGGCAGGTCGCATGCATATTTGCATGCAAGGCAGAACCATTGCTAGATAAAGTGTACGCCATTGCAAACATCAAAAAAAACATGCGACTGTATTTCTCTCTTTCTCTCTGACATTTGGGAAAAGGTCGTGAAATCCGGAACATCAGGTGGACTGATTAGGAGGAGGAGCTTGTATGTCGGAAATGCACGTCCGATGTGTCCCGAGGGCAGACGAACGTCAGCCTCAAAATTGCTGAATAAGGTCCTATCTACACCAGCATTGAAGAAAACGTGCCCTACTGCATAAAAGCGCTGCTAATAATTTATTCGTCGAAAACAAACTATGCATGACAGTACGCAAGGGTTGATAGTTTTCGCGACCATATGCCTGCACACAACCTACTCTGACACCTCATTTATCATATTCGCCGCAAGTTAAAAAGCAAGCTGCAAAATGCGAGTGCCAGACACGGGGTTTAAAAGTTGCCGCCTTCAAATTTAGAATGCAATTGTAATGGTGCCGGAGGAAACTGAAAGAGTCAAATAAAAATGTAAATAAATAACACAGAGCGTTGCGAAATGCATGGAAGTAAGTAATTAAATGCAGCTAAAATACTTTTTTATAAATAATTAGTTTGGAATAGTGTAGAACAGCTTTCGTGTGGTTCACAAGAACAAATACAGTTCGAACTTACAATCGCTTAAACCAAGTCAACGACTAAAGAGTATGCATCCTGCTACCTCTGCGCAAAACCTTGCCTTCATTTTTGTCGAATTTTCGCTTGCACACGGAAGGTTTATCTATCAAAAATTGTGTGTAATATCTGATTCTTTTCGGTGTTCTTCATCAGTTGTTAAATTGGTCGCCTAATTCTACTGATTTTATACAGTGTTTAATGGGACTATCATGTTTGGACTTGGTCACCTAAAGCATTCTCACATGCATGTGTGAATTATACACGACAGTTCGACCGCAGCAACCGGTGACGCCAACCGGATGCACATGGATTAGGTTACAGTGGAACAGACCTTCTTCAGGCTTCGATCAAAAGACAATTTCAAGACAGCCGGAGGTAGGTGCGAGCACAGTAATTGACAAAGGTAGGTGGCCTGGCTATCTGTGTCACGCCTGTGCACCTTCAGGGCTGTAAGATAGCCGTTTAATTTGTTGGACGCTTTGCTGCGTAGTGTGTGGCCCAGGCTGTGTGAATTGCGATGTGATCTGCCGAGCTGTATGGAAATTCTGGACAATTATAGACTGCGATCAGTTGGTTCATAATGGGGGGTGTGTGACATGGAGGTCTAGGCTGTGTGAGTCAGGATCCGTGCCGCGGCTACCTAGCTTTTGCTGTTGTGTTAAGACCGTGGCCAGGTGTTTTTTGTTGAACAAGGAACGTGGTGGCATGTGTGCACCCGATGCCGGTATCCTCTCCAACTTGGACACAAGTTGGTGAGTGAAGAGGTAGTGTGGTAGCTGCAACGCAAGTCTACTATCAATTACGACTAACCCACACACTGAAAGACGCAATGGACATTGTATGATTCGATGCTTGAAATTCCGGTTCCAAAAAATGTGCCATGCTCCTGTAAGGGCTGCTCGGATCTTCATGCGTAAGAGTGCCATATTAAGAATGAGTCATGGAGCCTTAACCTTAGTCATGGAGTCGGTAATCTCATACAAACTGCAATGATCACGGAAACTATTCTTCCACTCACTTTCAGTGAGTCGTGATAGTGCCAAATAATTTACGTTTATTACTGTAAGGAATACGCGGCTGTGCATTGAGGATACATCCTTAATATCAGGTTCACTCCCTCTTACCTGTCTCAGGCGACTGCTCGGACCAGTCTACCAGCTGAAAGGGCATAGTATCTGACAGCGTTTCCCTGGTCTAACTTCTTATTAGTAGAGTCTGGATGAACAAAGGGACAACTCGCCATTTGCAGACTTAACTTTAGATAGATTTGTGCAATGAAAATCGTCCAATTAGAGTTTGGACAGGCGCGCCATACGTATATGCCGAAGGGAGCCGCTATTATGAGCATGAGTCAAAACGACAGAGTCACCAACCCTCTTTTTAGTTATGAAAATTCCTTCCCCCCAACTCGATTCAGGCCGTATGGATTTTGGCTTTGATCAAAAAAAATCTTTTATTAAAAAGTCGAGAACTGACCTACAGGTCTTCACGCCTTAATACTCGGATTTTTCTACCGAATGAATTTGAAGTTTGTCAGCTGGGCTGATTTGGGGTGAGCTTACAAAAACACTTTTATCTTGAAGTTTAATCTTGCCTAGGAAATCTTTAAAGCTGAACAAATACATAGAAATCTAATATGTATGTATTTGTTCAGCTTTAAAGATTTCCTAGGCAAGATTAAACTTCAAGATAAAAGTGTTTTTGTAAAACTTTGTAATGAAAAAATCAGGATATATAGCAAATACGACAAACAGTGGTCCGCAAAATTGTGTCCGACCGCAAATGAGTGTGTGACGACGAAAAATAATCCAGAAAGGAAAACTCTAGTCAGTGCCCGGCTATGAGGTTTAAAATTCAAGCGTTAAGGCAAAACAAACGTGGGTTTCCCATTCCGCAACCAATAGACGCAGCACAGGCAACATTTTGTGAGGCACTATGCCCCCGACATGATAAATAATTGATTCTGCGTGCAAACGTTGGGTCCCCTCTGTCTAATGTTCGGTTATGGCTATGCGGCTGTCTTAAACAACGCCGAAGAAAAAATGGATACCTCTACAAGAGCTCTTGTCCAAAACTAGTTGACCCATAACCCAATATGTGAACTGTATAACTAGTAACCACTGATATGACTTAGGAGATAGCTTTCAAACACACATGGTACGTAGCTGCACAAGTGCACTGATTCATATTCATCTGATTAATAGCAGATAACAAATGAGTGACGTTAGAATTAGAACTGATTTATGGAAGAAATAATAATATGCTTTAATGTATTATTCCAATTCTTGCTTTGAGGACAAAATCGCCAAAATCCTAGGCAAAAAAGCGAACTGAAAGCACGTTCGAACAGGAAATCCAAATATCCCATGTAATGTAAATAGTGAATTAGGACAAACTTCAGTGTGTAATTTATACATATTATCAACAAATGCTCTATTAGAAATCTACTTGTGAAAGGCTCAAATTCTTGGGCTACTGGTGCATTGAAAATGATTTGACTTACGTCGGCCCAATCGTCCAAATCTTGTTGCTCGTCTACTTCACATTCCTCGGCAAACTGAACCGCTGTGAGTTTATACCCTGAACTCAGAAGATGCTCGTTTATCAGAAAACGTATGGTTCGTTTTTCAAGAGCCATGGCCGGGACTGCGGTCTGCCCCATTTCGTCCTTATTGGGAGCTTCATTAGTGTTTGTCGCTATAAAAAAGTGAAGGCAGGCTTAAATGTTTTGCTATAACAAAAACGCAATCGCCCTAAACAAAACGATAAAGAGACATAAGTGTGAATCCGACAATTCGGGTTTACGCACAATACAGTAAAAGGCTTGCCATTGCGTCTATTGGGCTATATCTGACGAACTAACTACAAAAGAGTGGAATAACTTAATCAAAGTTTTTTTTTAAACTGACAGTGCGGTAATTGAAAACTCAATTTCCTATAAAATAATACAGAACATGAATTTAAAGACGAAAGTGGTGGATAACATAAACTACAGAAGATCGCCACTGCCAGCATAGGGTTTCTCCATGGACAAGACTGCAGCTTTCTTTATTTTGAAGTATGCAGTATTATTGCAGTATAAGTAGTATTGTAGTAGTATTGCAGTACTCGCGAAACATGATTTTTCCACTTATGTTTTTTAAATATTTAGTTATATGAGTAAATAAATTATTATAAGTGTTAGTAATTATTTAAATTCTTTTTTGACTAGATCAGTAATATTGCTTCTGTACGCTAATTTTTAAGTAATAACGTATAAAATTACAAGTAAAGTTTCTTCAAAGATATCCAAGTATATAGCTCCGGGTCTTCCTTTGCAGTGAATTATATGTCCTTTAAATATATGAGTTTCTAACGAAGGGTGTTTTTCTTTATATGAACCAGTCGTTGATGAATAAATTTCTGGGATAACCTAATTATTTCGTTGAATTATGTCAATCGTAGGCACTCGTTCTGAGTCTGATATACTTTGAAAAGGCTACATTACTTATTTCTAACAAAACATTTTGTAATCAATTTGAGGTTTAGTGTTCTAGTTAAAATAATGATGTCAAGTACGACTGGGTTCCTTGAAGTACGGCTTTATTGTTCTTGATTGTGCTGTAGTTAAGGGTGATACATTAATGCGCCTCGTATGGAACGCACTCTGCACAAGGTAGTCGATATTTTAAAGTGGTGCCAAAACGAAGAAAAAGTTGTCTCCCTGCCTATGTTTGCACAGATTGCCGGCGATAAGAAGCTGACACGTTTCATATCCTGTAATATTTCCCCATTAACCCCCTCTAGTCTCAAGGAGCCATGCAGGACAGCTGCTGGTAGGGTCCTTCGTATTTCGGGCGCAAGTATAATGCATAATATGGTGAAAAGCGTACAGTTCAGTTTCAAATCATATTTCTATTTAAAAAAACTTGACCAGTAAGAAAGCCATAAAAGAAAAAGCTAAATAGCTGAAAAACAACCCATGAATACCTCCTATTGTCGCCGTTGTTAGGAGATCACGAAGATTTCGGATTTCTTCGTTCTTCTTACGCAGTTCAAACTCAAGGACTTACATAAGAATAAACCAAATCAAACCTTTAACCTGGTTTTGAATAGCACTGGTGTCTTCGGTATCAGCATGCAAATCCATCGAATCCAGTGTCGAAACACTTACACATGACTCTGCATGAAGTATGTTAAGTTTAACCTGCTGAAAATTACTTAAAGGCGCCTCGGGCGGTTGGAAATTTTCAAAAGTGTCGAAATTGCTAGGATTTTCAAAGAAATCTTTCAAACATTCAACCATTTTGCCGCGTTCGAGTAGCTCATAGTGATACTCGAGTGCAGTAAGAAGTAAATTTTCCTTAAGTAGGTATTTGGCCAATCCATCCGATTCAATGGAGACATTATCGACGGAATTAATGTCTTGCATCCTTTCTTTCTAATAGGACACAAGACAACAACAAGAAGGTGGAGGATATTTTCAGGAACAAATTAGGAAGTAAATATTTGCAGTTCCCGAGCGCATCACATGCGACCTTGTTATATTGAGGTCATTATAGATTCTAATTAGTAATATATTTAGTCGAATAAAACAATGTTATATG